TGGTCTATGGCCCTAGTGCTATGGCAGCCACCCGAGTATTATTATTATTTGTTAGTACGAGGTTCCTGATTTCTCATATGAACCTTGTGAGCTAACAAGTGTAACATGAAAACAAGAAACCTTGTTTTTTCTGTTGATTTTCAACAAGTTCTACAGCATTTAACCCTTTGGGCGCCATTTACATATTATATATGCACAGAGCCTCCATAAGTGAATAACTATTTATATATGGCTATAATACTAGGCGCTATATGTTATACGTAAATTTCTGCTTATTTAAGGAGACACCTAAGGGTTAAGGTAGGAAAGTATCCAACACGATCTGTACAAAATGCTGATTAAAATGAAAAGCACTAAAGTGCAAACCCTCGGCGAACTGCGCATGTGCGGTACCACTAATTGATGGGCTGGGTTATTTATGCCTTTACTCGTGGTATCCCGCTAGTAGCTCGCGGAGAGTCTGGCACGGGCTAGCTACAGTAGTAAATAGCATGCGTGAGTCGATACATGCCCTTCGTTGTGACTTGTTGTGCCTTCAAGACACACAGAGCGAACAGACACGGTCGAGGTAAGCCTGTGCTAATTTACATATTGGCTTGTTCACTTGGTTTTCACGGCATAACTTTAAAACACAGTAGTTTTACGAAAATCACCTTTTTTAAAATCAACCCAGTGTAGCACTGAACCCGATCATATCGTTATTTACCTGATTTCGTGCGCGCAGTGGCAGAAAACGTGGTAACAGACAGACAGACTGACAGACTGACAGACTGACAAACTTACGGGACAACTACCGTAACCCTCGCTGCGCATGCGCGCCGAGGGTTAATAACTGATAGGTTGATTTTCTTTTTCCACAAGACAGTTTCCTGTGTGTGCTTTGAGCCCATCTCCCTCCTTGCCATGTTGGTAGGTAGCCAGGCAGTTCACACAGTTCACACCCGCTCACAAACCACCGGGCCACACGAAAATTAGAGGGTGTGGCTCCGCGAGCGAGTGCGTGCGACAGGTCTACGGCGCCTGAATTCACCACTCACGCCTCTCCCTGATTGTGATGGTTCACACAGATCTCCGGTCGCGTTTCTTCGGATGAGGGGCGGAGAATAGTCCCGCAGCTGACGCAGCTAGAGCTGCAGAGTAGCGTATCCTAGCGTTCGCTTTCTCGCACCTTTCAAATTTGATTCGGTCTGCACTAATCATGTACTCCGCATACTTGGGATATACCAGATTGCAATAAACCCTCGCGCCATCCGCGTAGTGCCCTCGCTTCGCTCGGGACACTATATACAAACACAGAGTCCCTCAGGTTCATTGAATGTCCCACACACGTTGTATATAACTTATATATTATTATGTGTTGTATTGCTAACAGATGGGCTGAACCATTGTGCCGTTTTACTAACTTGTGGTCTCTTTCCAGGTCACTGAGTAGGTAACGGGCTAGCTACACTACAACATACATAACACATGAGAGTCGATACACGCCGCGCATTGCAACTTCTGGGGCCTCCAAGGTACGCACGCACATCTGGTCAAGGTAAGCCAGGGCTACCATGCATATTTGCTCATTCAATCTGTTCAAGCCTGTGTGAATGCAACCCTCACCGAATGTACAAATGAATACATGCACCAGTCATCTCTGTCGTGCCTTCTTGCTCTTTTATAATTATATAGTCTCCTTGTTGGCTTTTTCACTAATGTTTGAATCCACAACTCTCGAACACAGCTGTTTCAGTAAAATCGTCATACTACATCATTGAGGAGGTGGAACTTACAAGACCAGGAGAAGTTGGAACCGACCACATTAATCGTGCAAGAATTTCAATTAACAGGTGATAGAACGCAGGGATAGTGCCGCCAGGGTGCCGAACCAAAACGTTATATCGCCAAATTTGGTATATACCTGAAATTAAAAGAAGAAAGGATTGCTGTAAGCTTAGGTCAGTTCGAGTGGCACAGATCGTCTAGTACTCAACGCTGTATCTCATGTTACTAGGAGTACACAGGGTAGGCTGGCTCATCAGCCTCCTCTTGATGAGTCAGATCTACCAACCTACAAACCTAGTATGATACTTGTTAGGCTTTGCAGATGAGGTTAAAATTGCATGTTAAAATCACATGATATTCCAACAGGCGGAAGCGGTTAGCACACACAAGCTGTTAGCACATGCACAGTCAATGATCCAGATTCGGCATGTGGAGTTAGTGACAGTAGCATTAGCAGCGTGCAGTAAGTGGTATCCTCAAACATAGTTAAATAGGACATTGTGCCGTACTCTGTCAGAAAAAAAATCCAGCTTGCTATATGAAAGTCTTCACATCTACCCGTCCTTCATTTGTTCCGAAAAAATTTTAAAATGCCAGACCCTGCCAACTGAGCCACAACCCCTGCTTTGAAAAGTCTATCTGGAGGGGTGCAGTCTGTCTTAAAATGACTAGTTTTTAGTGCACAAAACAACACCATGCTGCAAAATTCGTATAGAGTTGCACCATAGACCTGCTGTAGTCCCACCTTCTCTATTTAAAACTCCTTGCGCGTTAATCTCGTACCCAGACCCCACCCTCTACAGAGAAAAAAGGTGTGGTGACATAATTGAGTGTTTTCATGGTAGTGTTGAATAAGCAGCCTTGTAGTCATTAGATAACCATGCGCAAGTAAGTTTGAATACGCTCACGAATAAACAGCCCGCACGGAGCATTGTTCTACGTGGTCACATGCCCACATGTAATGCGTTTTCTGGTAAGACTGCTGAATTAGCACAACCAAGAAATCGCTCAATTTTCACAAAACTAGTCTAGTGCCCAATCGCCCCACCCACACGGGGAAGGGACGTCTGATAACTATTGAAGCATTCCGTGGCCGTAACGGATCCTCCGCAGAATTCAGCGTTCTTATTAGTGAGCTCTTGGAAAAAGGCTCTCTCAACGTCGCTTCCTTTACTTATGCATGCGGTTCACTGTCTCAAGCGTTGATACCACACAGCCAACTCCCTGTAACTAGCGTGGGACATCCCAGCTACGCAAACAGCAGTATAGCAAAAGACATATAGCTCATACCCACCTACTAATAGGCTGATTTTCATTGTATATAATATAGTGCTAACTTTGAATGGCGTAATGTACATTATATCATCTTTACCAGCGTACACCAAATTACGCCAGTACATCAGCAAAAGTGCTCGTGAACCTAGAAGGGTTTTGGGATAGAGGGACCAATGATAGTTAGCAGGCAGAGAAGTTAGGAAGCGCTCACTTGAATTGCGTGTGAATTGCGCAAGACTTCAAATTATGAAAGAATGCGCTGGATCAGTGCCCCTGAGGTGCTGACATCCAAGGTTTATGGCCAAATTTGCTTGGACAGAAGTTGGAGGACACGCTTGACATTGTGCAGAGCGTTGTAGAAAAGGTAAAGGTGCTATAAGCTTTGCTTCCGCATACCTAGTGGCAGAGGTCGTCTGGTATTTGACGTTGGGTAAGTAACTAGGAGTTCGCCTTTCTGAATTTTCTTCCTAAAGTAGACCTACATAACTAAAAAAACATTCCGATATTCGATTCAGCGAGAGTTTTGTTTAAACTACAGAAGACAAGCTGCTGACTCGGCAAAATTGCAGTTGTGAGCTTCCAACCTCCTCTCGTTTAACAGGTGTCCCTTCACGTGTGCCAATTATTATCTGACACACCCTTTGAGAACTTAGTCGTCTTCGCGTTGTTTTTCTTTCACATGTCCGCATGTGCAATAGGCGTCGCTACGTAGTTCAGAATAGAGGGGTTGCAATAGGAGTTGCAAAATGACGCGCCCGCCATATTGGGGGACAACCGCGCATATGCTAACACATTGTAAGTGGCGATTCCGCATGGTTTTGGCTGCTCAAACCATGAGACAAAAGCAAGAAAAAGTCGTTTTAACGATGTAACTGCCGTCAGAAGTCATCAGGGGAAGCAAGACAAATGGTACTGAGTGAACAGCAGACGACGGAAGTCGTCGAAAACTCCGCCTTGCTAGAGCCTTCGCAGAGCCTGTTGCTTAGCTGTCTGATGTTGACAACAATCCTGGCTAGGTTCTAACATTGAGCCAAGGACACCACAATCGTTCTTCATGACTGTTCACATCATAACTGACTTCTGCCTGCCTGTGCTTTGTATATAGTTAGAAGTGTTTTTTCTCTTGACCAATGCTTCTCCGTTTACCCTACTAACCGCGCGTAAGTATTTACTGCTCTCCCTGATGACTTCTAACGGCAGCTACACAGCTAAACAACTTTTCCTTTCTTCTATCTCATGGTTTGAGCAGCCAAAACCATGCGGAATCACCATTTACAATGTATTAGCCTACGCACGGTTGTTCCCCAAAATGGCGAACACGTCATTTGGCCACGCCAATTGCAACCCCTCTACATATGCTCGAATCTTTTCACTGGTTTTTCTCCGCTCTTAAAGATACCGAGCGTTAAGGGTATTCTTCCACTTACAACCCATCTTGTGTGTAGTGCTGGGACATCTTTTTCTATAACTTTGGTTCGAAAATCACCGCGACATAGTCGAACAAGCCTGGTATGACTTGCAACACTAGCTGCAACGAAGATGTGCATAGGTGCCTTTTAGTATCAAGAGATACAGGCCTGTAATAAAACCGAGCCTGTTCTAGGAGGCGAACATCAATTGGGGAAAACGTCACTAACAGGCGGAACAAACAAAATTAGAAACGGATTGAAAACAAATGGAAGGCTAGTTTCTAAATAAACCATTCACCTAGGTCCCCAAAGAGAGATAAAACAGCTTTTACCAAACTCAGTTACGTGCCCCCCCTTTCCGCATGCGTAAAGAGGAAAAGAGTGAAAATGACAGTTCACAAGGGTGAGCGGAATATTATGTGACTATGATGCAACATTACATACATACTTTCAACCTCCTCTGCTCTTTACAACAAGCCTCCTAGCGCATTTTCGTTTCGTTTTTAAGATTTTATGCGCGTGTGCAGCATGCAAGAGCCCGGTCCTCACCTGCAGATTATTAGCAGCGGGGTCTATCCCAGTGTCAAGTACAGCAATGGTGACGCCTCTTCCGTCCCACTGCGGATGTTTTTTAAGAAACCTTTCCACCCCTGTTACTGCCTTTGGGATTAGCGTAGCTGACGGGAAACCAAGAGCACCACTGGCCATTTGCAAACGACCGTCGTGCAAACAGCGTGCGTTAATAAGCGCGCGCATGCGCATGCGCGTAAATTTTGATTCCGTGGCGTCTCTTATTGGGGGGCGATTTTTCACCCGAACTTCGTCATTTTCACGCTATGCGTTAACGTTCTCCATGCGCAAAGGGCGGGGCAACGTAACTTAGATCTACAGTTTGCTAAAGCCGCCGTCAGAGGAGGAACTGTTTGGCTTTGTACGCGCTTCTCCAAATTTTTACACATTATCACACACGTCGAAAGCGGGGGAGCGAGCCAACCTAGTCGTTCGTTCGAAACTATTTCCAAATTTTTACACATTTTCACACACGGTGCCTCGCGATATGCGCCGATGGATCTATATAGCCAGCTAGAGAACTCTCCTCCATTCGACGGCATGCGCTGCAACCTTCGGTGACTGACCGAGGCTGTACCTCTTCCCAATCTTCATGGTTCCAAGCTGCAACGTGCAAATACGCTAGGATTGCTCGTGCACCTCCGTCAACCAGTTGGTGGACCATATCAACATGATAGCTGCCAGGTGCGGCCACGCCTTTCTGTCAAAAAGGAGAGCACAGTGTGCTCCCAAAAAGGAAGGGATGAAACGTATAAGAACGTTAGAATCTGAACAAGACAGATTGGTGAGAAAATAGCAAGACAAACTACGTAAAGAGAGCATGAGGGCTGGTGGACCAGCGTTGTCGGGCAGCCCGATCGATCGCTGCCTAGCCTACTGCCATGCCAGCTGCCTGGTGGACCACGACAGACGAACTGAAAGTCTAAGGTAAGGACCGTTCCGCCAATATACAGTACGCATGTAAACGGCGACAGGTAGCTCTGTCTTGCTTCACGAAAGGAAAGCTGTGCGCTACGTTATGCAGCCCGAACATCGCGGACAAATCCCAAGTTGGGTCGCTCCCGCTCGCCAACAATGTTCAACATTCTTCGAGCGGGAGCGAGCTAACCTAGGCGCGATTTCGTCCGTCTGTATATATATACGTCGTCCACGCGCTTCTTTTTATCCGAAAAATATTTACACCGTATATTTCTCTAACTCGAGGAAACCAACCACAGTTTCTGCGATGGATCGGTCTAGGGGAGATGCCCTTCGCTGTCGACGGGAAAGGGAAAGAGAACGTCGTGCCTGTGAGACTTCTGAGCAAAGAGAGGCTCGACGGCGACTGCGTGATAGGGAACGGGCAAGGCAACGCCAGGCCACGGAAACAGCGGAAGAAAGGGAAGCACGACTAACGAGAAGTCGTGTACGAGCAAGAGCTACACGTGCTGCGGAATCAGAGGAAACGCAACAGGCAAGGCTCCAACAGATCCGAAGCTATCAGACAAGGCGAATTGCCGCCGAGTCTGCCGAGGAGAGAGAGGGTCGACTACAGTTACTACACAGGCTTTTGTGTGCATGCACACAAGACACAACGTTAGATCGCTCCCGCTCGCCAAAAATGCAGTGCATTCACCTACTAGTATATACTAGTGGAAATGTTGACCATTGTTGGCGAGCGGGAGCGACCCAACTTGAGATTTCACCGCGATGTTCGGGCTGCATAACGTGCCGTCAGCGCACAGCTTTCCTTTCGCGAAGCAAGACAGATCTACCTGTCGCCGTTACATGCGTACTGGTACATTGCCAGAACGGTGAGCAGGTGAGCAGAACGGTACTTACCTTACGCTTTCAGCTCGTCAGTCGTGGTCCACCTGGCAACTGGCATGCAGCATTATGTGCCCTAGCGTATTATGCAAGTTGCACCTTGAGATTGGGAAGAGGTATATACAGCTTCGGTCAGTCACCGAAGGTTCGATGGTCGAATGGAGGAGAGTTGAAATAATTTCGGATAAAAAGAAGCGCGTACAAAGACGCGCATGCGCACTTACACGACGTACGAACGCATATATATATTGGTCTTCAGCATCTTGTTTGTTATTGCCCTGTGGTAACTAGTTATAGTTAAAGGTAACTTGTTATACACAGAAAATTCCGCTCGAACGAACGACTAGGTTGGCTCGCTCCCGCTCGCCAATTAATACGTCCGTGGCGTGCGTCCGTCCGTCCGTCCGTCGTGTAAGTGCGCATGCGCGGCTTTGTACGCGCTTCCGAACCAAATGTTTGCGCCAGCGACATTCGACCCAATCTTCATGGTTCCAAGCTGCAACTTGCAAATACGCTAGGATTGCTCGTGCACATACTGTTGCATGCCAGCTTGTTGGTGGACCAGCTAACACACGCCTCAGTAGCCTATACTGCCATCCCAGCTGCCTGGTGGACCACGACAAACGAGCTGAAAGCGTAAGGACCGGTAAGGACCGTTCTGCTCACGTGCTCACCGTTCTGGCAATATACAGGTAATTAAACGGCGACAGGTAGATCTGTCTTGCTTCACGAAAGGAAAGCTGTGCGCTGATGGCACGGGGGGAGATCAGTACGCAGCCCGAACATCGCGGACAAATCCCATTTAGAGCTCTGCTGTAACTGATAACATCAGTTACAGCAGAGCTCAAAATAGTTATGGCAGTGAAGTTACAAGAAGTTGGGTCGCTCCAACTTCTTGTAACTTCACTGCCTATACTTCCAATAACTGTGAGATGCGTCATGCGGTCCGTTTATGTGAGGGGTGTGGCTACGCGAGAGACACACGGTGTTTATGTAATACAAAATTTGGCCATTGAGTTACGTAAGCGCACGGTCCGCTTAGCAACGCATCCGCAAACAATTTTAAATATGAATATTCATGAACTACTTTGACTTCCCGTTCCGGGTTTTTGGAACGCGCAGGGGCCGGTTAGAACGCGATAGCCGCGCGGGGTCCTCCACGTGGCTTCTCTCTCGTTTTTGTCCGGAGGCTTTACCACGGAGGACGAGCAAGTTACGGACAAGTTCACCACGATCCTCGAGTTTCAATGACTCACACAGCCGGGAAGTTTTCGCCGTGTGGTAACTTTTTCGGACGTTACTCTCCGTATTGTAAAGCACGGGGCTGGACCTTTGTGCGGACGAAGAGGTGGCGCCGCTTCCTGGATCGGGGATAGAGAGGTATGTTGTACGAGTGTATTATGTAGCGGGTTGAGGCCCTGAGAGGGAGGGTGCTTGTCACAGTGTATTTCTTTCCTGAGAAAGAGACATGATGGTGATGTAGCTGACTCAGGAACCAGTTCGTGAGTTGTGTCACACGGTGTACAGTGGAGGGTGTGGGCCGACTTGGCTTCGCGCCGCAGGCACTGAGCACATATGTGATGACCACATGGAAATACCAGTGGTTGATGGAGAAGGTGTGCCCCTGCCATGCAAAGTCCAATCTGTTGTTCACTGTCTGCTGGCTCTAGGATGGGAGATGTAGTTGTAGGTGGCGGAACAACTTTGCTGATGTGGTCGAGGAAAGAGGACGCATTCACAGGCCGCCCACCTCTCCTCTTCGTTTCGAAGTGGTCGTATACCTAATTTGTGTTTTTTTAGCAGATTACAGATTGTTGCACACTGCAGCTCTCTGTTTGATGTACCATCCACTGAAAGGGCCTGACTGATGGTGTGCGGTGCTTACTGATGGTATCGTAGCATGAGTGAATGTTGGATGTGTGCTATGGTCATCTTCCTCCACAGAGATGCCAAACACTGACTGGAGACCTTCCTTCTGTGAGAGGCAGGTGTACTGTCGAGTGGCCCTTCCAGATCTGGCTCCCTTGGCTCTTCCTCCACACACACGACAGTGGAGATTGAGCTGTTTCTTGTGTATTATGTACATATTTTGTACTGGCTTTTCCCCCTGCTATTTGGAGTGGCGCCACTAAACGCTTTTGTTTTCGCAACTGTTTTACTCTTATGCAAGCCGTTTCTAGTGTAGAATATACTGCGCAGGAAAACTTACAGGGCTTCAGTGTGACTGTCCAAACTATGCGGTTCTTTGTACTCCTTTTCCGGTATGGTAAGATAAGCAGCTGCTCAGTTGCGAAGGACGCGTTGTGGCTCTGCGCACATCACTGTATTGTTTAGTATAGTAAGGAATGTGCCAGTAACTTCTTCCGTTAGTGGATCTCCTGGAAGGAAGTGGTGGAAACGATCGCTGGGAAACCGGCTTCAACCGGAGGAAACTCATGAATAATTAATTAGATACTGTATATGTGCGCGCACACGAAAAATTTAACGTCACAGTGGCCAATTCGAAACACCCGTGCTAGCTAGCTAGCTAAAGGTTGTGCACGCGCGTCATCGCTTGCAGCACGTGCGCCTTACTTCGCCCATGCGAGAACGACGAACGACCAGTGACTTAAACGGACCAAGCGCGTAGCGACTGTCGAGACCGCCTATCTAAATAAGGCCACGCCCACACGATGCCGCGTCTGCAAGCCGAAGGTCGGTTGACCGCGAAGGTGCTGGGCGAAATCATCCGAAGTCGGTGCTGTTACAAACCAAGGCGCAGGGCTAGGTTCCGACTAGCTCAATGTACTACTCTCGCTCCACGGAGTTGGGGGGGGGGTAGGCCGACCTTGCCATCTTGTCGGCTTGCTGACGCGGCATCAAGTGGGCGTGGCCTTATTTGGACAGGCGCGCACGATTGCGAGTCGCCGGAAGTCAGTTGAAATGCAGTTTTCGGCTTGTTTCTTCTAACACACGCGCCGGATGAAGCTATATTACCAAAGCTATATTACCAATAATTATTTTTTTGTAAATACCAATAAAAAGTTAGATCTCACAAAAACAGAAATCGTGCTGCTATAAGGCAAGAAGAACGAGGAGAAAATTTTATAGCTTCATCCGGCGCGTGTGTTAGAAGAAACAAGCCGAAAACTGCTTTTCGCGTAAAACGCGGCTTACGCGACCCCGCCTATTTGCGCTTCCGTGAGCGAAGACAAAAAAGGGCCATTTGTGGGTCGCTGCATAGCCAAAAGGTATATACAGCTATCAATCGAGCATACACTCGCTTGGATCATTCATACTGTTCCCGTTTTGGGAGACTGTCCTACCTTTGATGGCCTTGTCCGAACTTTGCTGTGCCCGAATCGTAACTTTACGGCAACGTCATTCCCACGGTAAAGCTCGGATAAGAGCGAATATTTTTATGCAACCGTTTATGACCACTTTGGTATACACAGTAGCCAATCTAGTCCTGCACAGACTTCACAAATGCGTCCGAGAATACATGGCGTTCGATTATCGGTGGCTTTTCGCGAAGCGCGCGACGCTTTCATCGCGGGGGCCCACCACCTGATTGCGCACTCGCGGGAGGAGGCGGGGCGCATTCACGTTGTCCCCGGAATTTTGGTCCCGGCGAAAACGGCCCTAATTTTCGTCCCGAACGCCCGGCTTATTATAGAAGATGATGGTTAACGCTGGCTCAGTCTACCGCCGGATAGAAACGAAATCTGACGATAACTTGTCCTTGTGCTGCTTATTTGACGGTCGGTTGGTAACGGGACACGGCAGCAGTTCATGTAAAGTATGGTCACCTGAGAGTGTCTCCCTTCTTCACACTCTGCGTGTGCCAGTTGTAGGGGATGTTATGAGTGTATGCCAGAGTCCTATTCATCACCACCTACTAGCTATCTCTGTATCTTCATCAGTTTTGTGCTACGATCTCCGAAATATTTCTGCCCCAACCCAAGTATTTTCTTACAACTCTGAGGAGATAAACCAGATAAGATTCCACCCCCGCCTTCCATACACAATATGTGCGTGTGACGATGCAGGAGAAGTGAAAGTGATATCTACTGAAGACTGCAAGCTTCTCGAGACCCTTACTGGTTGCCACTCTAACTTATGTACTTGTGCAAGTTTTCTTCCACAAAACCCTTCTGATGTTGTATCAGGAAGCATGGATTGCAAACTAGTGCGGTGGAACTGGAACAAAGCCACATCCCTTGTAGAGGTGATGGTGCATAGTGATAACATGCTGGTCAATCCTCCCATGGTGTATACTCTTGACACTTGGGAAGATAATCAATGTATTGCTTGTGGTCTAGGGAATGGTGTGGTCTCAGTGTATGAGGTAAAAGATGGAGGCATGAAGCTAATGTGCATGTCAACTCCGCACAGCAGTATGGTAGTGTGCGTGTGTTGTATTAAGGGAGAAGAAACAATAAGGAATACGTATTATGTTGTTTCTGGAGGAAATGATGGTAAAATTGTTTTATCAAAAGTGGCTGAAGGTTTCAAAGAGCTCATATCGGTTTATGTTATTCAACACTACTATAAGATTAACTGGATCAGTGTAAACGAAAGAAATATCTTCACTGCTGATCAAACAGCTTTTGTCACTGTGTATCAGATAGAGTTTAGTTAACCAGTATTGAGTACGGTAAGTAATGATGTGGTCACTATTACAATGAAAAGCACTAAAGTGCAAACCCTCAGCGAACTGTGCATGTGCGGAACCGGTATACGGTAGCTCAGTTGGTAGAGCTCTCGCCTCAAAACCAGAGTATCGTAGGTTGTTTTCCTTAGCAGGTCTGGGTATAGTTGACTTGTTTGCATTACCTTGCCTTTGTACCTCGATACCTAGTTGTTGACACCTGTATAATGAATGGCTCCATACTCCACACACTGAGGTGATCTTTCTTCCTGCCCTTTTACAGACAGTCTCCGTGCCTGCTTTTCAGCCGGCTGAGACATTTATGCAAGACAGTTACAATCCTTATTGGAAGGTGGTTGTGGGGTGTGGGGAGGGTAGGGGAATGCATGTATCATAGGCAAAGGTGCAGTGGGAAGTGAGAGTGTCATTACACATTTTAACTATAGGGAAATATTTATGGATGGTTGGTAATGGTTGGTGATGGTGATGGTTGGTTGGTTTGTAATTTCGTTGATATACAAGCCGACAAAAAATGCAAAACTATTACAATTAAAACCCTTACTTGAAGGTGGGGGAAGGGTAGTGGGACACATAATGATGGGTAAAGGAACAGTGAAAAGGCAGAGAGTGTAATTCCACACTTTAACCTGACTGTAATTGTTATAGATGGTTGGTTTGTAATTTCCTTCATTCACGTGCCGTAAAAAATGCAAAACCGTTACAATCCTTATTGGAAGGTGATGGTGGGAAGGGTAGGGGGACACATGTACGTACCATAGGCAAAGGTGCAGTGAGAAGTGGGAGAGTGTCGTTACACACTTTAGATGGTTGGGTTGTAATTTCGTTGAATTACATGCCGACAAAAAATGCAAAACCCTTACTTTAAGGTGGGGGAAGGGTAGTGGGACACATGATCGATAAAGGTACAGTTAGAAGTCAGAGAGTGTAATTCCACAATTAAACCTCATTGGAATTAAGAGGAATGGTTTGTGTGTAATTTCGTTTATTCAAGTGGCCATAAATATGCAAAGCCGTTACAACCCTTATTGCAAGGTGAGGGAAGGGAAATAGGTAAAGGTAAATACTATTCTTGTTCATTCATGTGTCAGTAGAAAATGCAAAACCATTATTGGGAAGGGTAGGGAAACACATGAATGATAGCAAAATGGTGCAGCGAGTAGTGAAAGTGTGTTACACCAAACTTTAAATATAGCAAGATTTTATGGATCATTGATTCGTAATTTCGTTAATTTACATGCCTACACAAAATGCAAAACCGTTAAAACCCTTAATCGAAGGTGGGGGAAGGGAAATTGGACACAAATGATAGGTCTGCGCATTGAGAACTAAGAGAGTGTGATTCCACACTTTAACCTGAGTGAAATTATTAGGGGTGTTGGTTAGTAATTTCGTTCGTTCATGTGCCCGCAAAACATGCAAAACCATCAAAACCCTCACTGGAAGGTGGTAGAGGGAAGGGATGGTTGGTTAGTAATTTCGTTGTTTCACGTGCCTTCAAAAAATGCAAAACCGTTACAAACCTTTTTGAGACGTGATGGGGGGACGGGTAGGGGTACATATGATAGGCAAAGGTGTAAGAAGTGAGGGAGTGTCATTCACTTCACTGACATTTTTAGGCTGCCTACCTTTCCTCCACCTTCCAATAAGGGCAAACAATTTTGCTATAGTTATAGTGTGGAATGAGACTCTCGCACATCTCACTGCACCTTTATCTATCATACCTTTCTCCCCACCACCCTATATCGTCGTACGGTGGGAGCATAGATGTATGGGGCTATGATAGGGAAAGTTATCAATCTTCTTCGTAGGGTGGAAGTGGGAGTGATGAGAGAGTCTGTAGAATATTGCTATAGGTAATGAAGTACTTACATTTGATTGATTTGTCATGCTTAATTTCCATGGAGTGCCATTTAGGTGGAAGTGTAATCAGCTGACCATAACATTGGATATACATGTATATACATGGAAACATGGGAAAATTGTGTAACGCAAGAAAACAAAATTCAAGTATGCAAGGTTGGCTGATATATTCACGAGAAAGTAGTAAAGCACCGATACGACGATATAGGGCTGTTGTAATGACCTGTGGGAGTCCTAACTCCTCGCTAGCATCTATGTGCTTCCACAAACACCATCCCTATCTTTGTCTCCCTTTCTTTTTATACGATCCCTATATGCACTCTTTTTTTAATCTGCAGGATTTTTTATTTACTTGTCTCCACTCATTCTTATATACTACTACGTATTATCTCTGTGGAAGACGGCAAGCCCCTATACAAAAGTTATAATAGAGAAAAAATGCCTGTTGTCGTCATGGAAATGATATGCATACATTGTTTCATCTCCTTGTGTGCTGCCATTAGTTGCCATTTGTTGTTGTGGTCGTCATAGTAATACACATGCACACCAAGTTTCACCTCCATGCGTGCTACAGTTAGCAAGTTTTAGGAGTGAAGAAGTAATTTTAAAGAAAAGTGCCTGAGGTTGTTTGTTGTTGTTTATACAATGTGGTTGTCATGGAAATGCATGAGTGGAGTGAAGAAAAGTAAAGTGCCTGAGGCTACTTTGTGTTGTGGTTATCATGGAAACAGTTTTATACGTATGTCAGGGGTGCCGATTTGACGCTATGGCGCCGAAAATGGCGTCATCAGAAAAATCACAGCGTCGATGGGTGAATTTCAGGCGTCAGCACTTGTGTTTTTCCAGTTCCTGGCCTGCTGAGGCTCCTGCTCTGGCAACGCCGTATCCACTTCGACTTCCGCGCTACTACCACCGCCCACAAAAAAAGTGAGCACGCATGCGCAAAATGTATGAATGTAGTTTCATCGCAGTGCTTATAATTGGTGCGGCGCCAAGCTAGTTTCTGACACCAATACATTGTCCCCGTCGTTTCTAAATTTCAGCACCCCTCGTATGTGTAACAAGTTTCACCTCCACAGTTAGCAAGTTTCAGGAGTGAAGAAGTAATTATAAGATAATCGTCTGAGGTTTCTTCAAACAGTATGCGGTCGTCATGGAAACATGTAGTTGTCATGGAAATGATATAATAGGCATACGTACCAAGTTTCATCTCCATGCGTGGTACCGTTAGCGAGTTTGAGGAGAGAAGAAGTAATTTGAAAAGTGCCTGAGGCTATTTGTTGTTGTGGTCGTCATGGAAACGATTTAATACACATGCGCACCAAGTTTCAATTAGCAATGTAGAGGAGTGAACAAGAAATTTAAAGAAAATTGCCTGAGGCCTTTTCGAACAATATGCGGTCGTCATGGAAACATGTAATCGTCTTGGAAATGTGTGAGTTCAAGGTGGTTTCTCTCTGGGGAGGGGAGCTCAGAACCTTCTTGTCTGCTCGGTAGTTGCAGCATAAGAGCCTTAAGACTCGGTATGACGTTCTCACCATCAAGCTGGATGTTCACTCCTGGAGCCTACAGAGGAAAAAGAAAGGCTTTGGACACTTCTGACACACTTAACCAGTGGAAACATGTAATCGTCTTGGAAATGTGTGAGTTCAAGGTGGTTCCTCTCTGGGGGGGGGGGGCTGGGCGGAGCTCAGAACCTTCTTGTCTGCTCGGTAGTTGCAGCATAAGAGCCTTAAGACTCGGTATGACGTTCTCACCATCAAGCTGGATGTTCACTCCTAGAGCCTACAGAGGAAAAAGAAAGGCTTTGGACACTTCTGACACACTTAACCAGTTGTGCGTGTGTCGTAACCTAGGAAGGCCTTTTGTGCAGGAAACGTGGTTAAAGAAAAAGTTAAGTTACACTTTTTTGCGCATGCGGGTCGAAAGGTGTCTGAATCTCTACGAGGAGAAAGCAGCGAGGCAGGTCAAGAGCAAAGCTAGCCGGAAGGTAAATAGGCATACGCACCAAGTTTCATCTCTATGCGTGCTACTGTTAGCAAGTTTGTGGAGTGAAGAAGTAAATTTAAAGAAAAGTGCCTGAGGCTATTTCTTGCTGTTTAGAAACATGTACTGTTGTGATTTTGATGTTGGTGATTGAATACATTATGTATACAAAGTTTCGTTCACATAGCTCCTACCATTTGTGAGTTTTGCTGACACATGTGATCCCTTTATAATGTATTGCCTGGGGATATTTGTTGTTGTTTACAGTAAACAATGTTGTTTACAAAGAAATAAGTATGACCAGTCTCTTCGGGTGACGGATATCTACATTCTTACAAAATTTCATTACTATATGCACTTCTCACTGCACCTTTGCCTATCATACGTACTTTGCCTTTATAAACTCGTGATGCCAGAGAGAGAAGTTGCGGTATGCTCTGCTGATGAGGGCCAACAAGCCCAAAACAGCTGTCCAGAGCTCCGCATTTTTTTCCTTGGCATCACATGGTCTATTGTTACATGTGTCCCCCTACCCTTCTCCCCACCACCTTCCAATAACAGTTTTAACGGTTTTGCATTTTTGTAGACTCTCGCACTTCTCAATTTACTTTTGTCTATCAAACATTTGTCCAGTTTTGAATTCTTTGCAGGCACGTCAATGAATGAAACTAGGAACCAATGAAAAGCACTAAAGTGCAAACCCTCGGCGAAGTAGCTCGTAGAAAGTCTGACACGGGCTAGCTACAGTAGTAGATAGCACGCGAGAGTCGATACACGCCATTCGTTGTGACTTCTTGTGCCTTCAAGATAGACAGAGCAAGCAGACCCGGTCGAACTTGTGCTAAATATAAGCGCATGCGCATTATCCGGACAGACAGACCCAACTACAGTACCCTCGCTCCGCATGCGCGCCGAGGATACAACACCTGATGATTTTACTATAATGATTGTGTGGAATGAGACTCTGCACTTTTCACCGCACTTGCCTATCAAACCTGTGTCCACCTACCCTTCTCTCCACCACCTTCCAAAAAGAGTTTTAACGGTTTTGTATTTTTTGCGGGTACATCAACGAAAGAAATTACTAACCGACCATCATTAATAATTGCAATCAAGTTGAAGCATGCAATTACACTCTTCCACTTCTCGTTGCACATTTGCATGTCATACATGTGTCTGCAAACCCCTTCTCCCCATCAACTTCGAATAAGAGTTTTAACGGTTTTTCAATATTTACATGGACGTGAATGAATGAAATTAGGAACAAACCATCCCTCACAATTTTACTATAGTTAAAGTGACTCTCAAACTTCTCACTTCACTTTTGTCTATCAAACATTTGTCCCCCTACCCTTCTTTCCACCACCTTCCAAAAAGAGCTTTAACGGTTTTGCATTTTTTGCAGGCACTTGAATGAATGAAATTAGGAACCAACAACCCCTGATATTATACTATTGTTAAAGTGTGAAATGAGACTCTTGCACTTCTCCTGCACCTTTGCCTCTCATACATTTGTCCCCCTTGCACCACCAGTTTTAACAGTTTTGCATTTTTCCAGGTACATCAACGAAAGAAATTACTAATTATAACCGACCATCCTTAATAATTTCAATCAAGTTGAAGCATGCAATTACACTCTTCCACTTCTCGTTGCACATTTGCATTTCATACATGTGTCTGCAAACCCTTACCTAACCTTCTCCCCATCACCTTCCAATAAGAGTTTTAACGGTTTTGCATTTTTTTCAGGAACGTGAATGAATGAAATTAGGAACCAACCACCTATAACAATTTTACTATAGTTAAAGTGTAGTATGAGACTCTCGCACTTCACACTGCACTTTTGTCTATCAAACAATTGTCCCACTATTATACCCTTCTATCCACCACCTTCCAAAAAGAGTTTTAACGGTTTTTTGCATTTTTTGAAGGCACGTGAATGAATGAAATTAGGAACCAACCTCCCCTGACAATTTTACTATAGTTAAAGTGTGCAATTAGACTCTCGAACTTCTCACTGCACCTTTGATGTGTCCCCCTACCCTTCTCCCCACCACCTTGTTTTAACGGTTTTGCATTTTAGCAGGCACGTCAAAGAATGAAGTTAGGAACCAACCACCCCTGACAATTTTACTATAGTTAAAGTGTGCAATGAGACTTTTGCACTTCTCACCGCACCTTTGCCTATCAAACATGTGTCCCCCTACCCTTCTTTGCACCACCTTGCAATAAGAGTTTTAACGGTTTTGCAGTTTTTGAGGGCACATCGACAAAGGAAATTACTTACCAACCATCATTAATGAAAAGCACCGAAGTGCAAACCCTCGGCGAACTGCGCATGCGCGGTATATTAGTATGCGATTACTTGCGGTCTCCCGCTAGTATATAGCTCGCAGAGAGTCTGACATGGGCTAGCTACAGTAGTAGATAGCATGCGAGAGTCGATACACGCCCTTCGTTGTGACTTCTTGTGCCTTCAAAATACACAGAACAAGCAGACCAGGTCCTGTGCTAAATATAAGCGCATGCGCATTTTCCGCAGCGATAAAAATGGCCGACTACGCATCAGCCGTACAATGGTGGAAGCGCTCTAGCTTTGCAACGGAGCGGTTTCAGAGAAAACCGTTCGAAATTTCTGACCTTCATTGCCCGTTCAGTAGGTGGTATCCTGTGTGAGACAAAAGAACACTCGAGAAGTGAGATGAAGAGTAACAGACAGACTGACACACAGACAGACAAACCCAATGAAAAGCACTAAAGTGCAAACCCTCGGCGCTAAACGCGCGAGTTGTAGTCTCGCTAGCTGTATGCTGGCGGACGGAGCCAGTAACACGAGTCTCCCCGTAGCACAGGGTAGTTGGTTAGAGCAATTGCTCAGGTGTTTCACAGGCTCACATATTTGCTATATTCAATCTATCCGCTCTTCTGTGCTCCCAATCTTGCCACAGATGGGAAGGCAGGTAGCATAATTTTGGGAATAATAGGGGTATTAAGCTTATTGGAATTATGCTGGAATAATCAGCAAAAATTATAGCTCAGTGAGAATAATAGGTTATAAATTAGCTGTGTGCGTACGCGCATGCGTGCAGTCCAGGTGGGCATTTGCAAGAACATTGCACGAACATGAACTGCCTAATTGGGCTAACGCTTTCCAACTACTTCTGCTAGTGCAGCCGTCTTCTGCAGCGGCCGAGCGAGCATTCTCTCTTCTCGAAAACTCCTTCAACGATCACCCCTCGAGGATGTTACAATACAATAGAAAATAATGTTTTCAACATTTTTATTTGAGAATAATAGGCTAGCTTAATGAGAATAATGGCGAGAATAATGGGCACTATTTGAGAGCATAAGGGAAGAGAATAATTGGGGAAATTTTGAGCATAATGTGTCAAGGCCTAAAGGCAGGGCTGCATCCACAAACTGCTCGCCACCTGAACTATTATGCTACATTGCGAATATACCTTGCTCAGCATGTTTATCCAAAGAGAAACCTGTCGATCATACAACCAATGTGGCGTAGCGCATTCTCCGGCGAAAAATTGACATGACGCGTGCGCGATGGACCGCACGTTGGCTTTTTCGCTTGTTTTCACGCCATATCTCTGGAACGCAGTCGTTTCAGGAAAATTGCCACATTACTATCCATCTTCTCGTCGTTCACAACCCGTTGGTACCACTCATTGGCCGCCTTGTAGCCTGTAGTGCTAGAACTCGCGCGGACAGACAGAATGACAGAACGACTACTGTAACCCTCGCTGCGCATGCGCGCCGAGGGTTAATAAAAAGCACTGAAGTGCAAACTACGGTGGCTTTTTAGGGCCACAAATACCATCGCAAAACTTCCGTTGTAGACTTCCATTCTAGTAACCTCCGTTCTAGCTAAAGGTTCTAGCTGGTGGGATAGCTGAGGTACTGTTGCAGGGTCATGAGTACTCTCATTAGCTACTCTGTTCGCCTCGCCATAATTCATGGGTTAAAGGTCGTACATGGTTCGCAGGGAGTGGAGAGAGAGCCTGGGAATGAGGCTATATTGTATAATAGCTACTGTAAAGATGCACTCAATATCTGGGGAAAAAACGGATAGTGCAGATCACTGACTTCATGTTCATTGATGTTTCAGGGAAGTTCCACTGGATTAGCTTTTGGTGTGGCTAACATCTATACTGTGACTTCAGACAAAGGCACGGGGGTCCTTGTTTGTGTAGCTAGCTACCACAAACAGCAAAGCAGTATTTTCCCTCTAGGTTCTCTGGATCAAACAAGGTGTTTCAGCTTAGCTTAGAATCGAACAGAATTGAACTTGGAAGTTGGTTCAGAATGGAAGTCAGCTCAAAATGGAAGTTGGAAGTCATGGATAACAAAGTTTATACTAGGAACAACTTTCTGAAACCTTGTCCCAACGGGTAGATCTCGGGAACAACACAGCATTATCTAACTTATGGAACATTGAGCTACAAGTGTACAGTAATTTTAACCCATGAATCATGTCTGGAACAAGTAATACAAGAAATGCTTCCTGGATATAAGTAACTTTCATCTGAGCAGAATTGATGTGGCTACTCTAGGATCTGATAATAAGAGGATAAATCATGCAGTGGCACATTCAATTCACACCACTTTCATAATACATTTTAGACTACAGTAACACGCAATTGACCAATCAGATTCCGAGTTTAGAGGTAACTATTTCGCAGCCCTGTGGCACTTTTCTTGCGCGTAATGGCAACCGCGCCTTCAATTGGAGAGACGCCGTGCGTTCGGAAGGCAAACGGAGATTCTGGAGTGGTTTTCTCACAAGTACTGGGTTTTCTAGTAGGAAGCGGTGCATGACTAGCTACAGCTCGAGCCAGACCCGCACGCAGAGGACCCGCCTACTTTCGCGTTAGCGAGCCGCGCCGCCTAGAACAAACACTCTCTACTGCCTTGCTGGTATAGTCGTTGTTGTACGCCTACTCGAACTGGCTGCTAACAGCTGCAAATAGCCTGTCTACTTCCAGTTCGTCCTCAGCAAAAAGCTCCGACCCAGTAAGCCCTATGCAGCGTGCGTTGCTGTGCGTTGCTAGCGCTGTAGTCTAAGATGGTTAGATGCATTGCCTTGGGAACTACGCGATTTAGTGAGCCTCGGGGCCCTGGTTGTAGCGCCCTTGCTGCGCTCGGTACGCCGCGACAGCCCAGGGCCCTCGGCTCACTAAATCGCGTAGTTCCCGCGGCTCCGCATCTGACCTATACGTATGATTATGCCGCAACACTACCTCAGCTATCCCGCCAGCTAGAACTTTTAGCTAGCTAGATTTAGCAGTGAGTGTTAGAACGGAAGTTACTAGAACGGAAGTATCTGCAACGGAAGTTTTGCGATGGTATTTGTGGCCCTAATAAGCCACCGTAGCAAACCCTAGCCTAGCCCTCGGCGCACTGTGACGCGCACGCGTAAGTAAACGCATGCGCAGTACCACTAATTGATGGGCTGGGTTTAGTTTTAGCTGTTACTCGCGGTCTCTTGCCAGCTCGCGCAGAGTCTGACGCGGGCTAACTACACTACTAGATAGTATGCGAGAGGCGATACACGCCTTCTGGTGCCTCCGAAGTACGCAGAGCACGCGGATCGATCCGACTGTGGTAAGTCATCCCGTCCGTTGTGTATTTGCATATTGGCTTTTTCGCGCTCTAGCTTTGCAACGGAACAGTTTCAGAGAAAACCCCACAAATTTTCTGACCTTCGTTGCCCGTTGAGTAGGTCGTATCCTTTGTGAGACGAACAAACACCCGAGAAGTGAGATTGAGAGTAACAGACAGCACACACACACACAGACAAACCCAATGAAAAGCACTAAAGTGCAAACCCTCGGCGAACTGGGCATGCGCGGTACCGCTAATTGATGGGCTGGGCTGCTAGTATACCCGTGTTCTCCCGCAGACACGGGCTAGCTACAGTAGTAGATAGCATGTGGGAGTCGATATACGCCCTTCGTTGTGACTTCTCGTGCCTTCAAGATACACAGAGCAAGCAGACCAATATAAGCGCATGCGAATTTTCCTCAGCGATAAAAATGCCGACTACGCATCAGCCGTACAATGGCGGAAGCGCTCTAGCTCTGCAACGGAGCATTTTCAGAGAAAACTGTTCGAAATTTCTGACTCATTGCCCGTTAGGTAGGGTCGTATCGTTTGTGAGACGAAAAGACATTCGAGAAGTGAGATTGAGAGTAACAGACAGACACATAACACGGAATTAGTAATAAACTGTGCGCACGCAGTATATATTACGTATATACAAGTGCGTGCAAGCTGGCTGTATGGCTCAGCCTTCCTCCAAGGGAGTTTCCTCAGGACTCTGCTGAGGGCTAGGGCTAGGGCTATTCCTCAGGACTCTGCCTGATGGAAAGAACAAGATAATTAATATCAGCTTATGTCAAAGACTTCGCCATAGCTCGACGCGGCTTCAATGGAGGTCAGTGCTCCCGCAGAGGGAGAGCGGAATTTAGACTTCCATTCGCCCTTGAACGCTGCCCATCGTGTCAGTGTTGCCAAACGTTAGTTGGATAGTCAAACGTGGGCCGCCGGCCCTCGGTTCTTGGCCGCTGGAGGCAGACATTCATGTTCGAGTAGCGCAAGAAGCGCTGTTCAGCGCATTCATGAGCGGAGTAGCGTAAAAGGCGCTGATTCAGCATTGAGAGGCAAACGCAGCGTGTTTTAGGTGCGTGGAAACGGGTGCGTGGTAGCCAGCGGCTCAGGAAGTGAAGAGACGTAGTTTGAACACCGCCATTTTGTCACGGTGGTGTCTAAAGTTAATCGTTTTTTGCCTGGCAACGCCCTTTTATACGCGGACTACACGTTTAAGTAGGGCTATCGTTTGTGTGAGACGACACGAGATCGAGTATAGTGAGCAGTTGAGAGTACAACACACAATGACAGACAGCAACCCAACTACAGTCACCACACCAATCTACAGCTGCGCACTAGCGCGCCGAGGGTAACCTACGTAACCCATCGCTGCGCATGCGCGCTGACAGTACGACACGGTGGGAGCAGAACGAATAATTACCTATTGTGTGGGGAGGTGCTCCTACTGCATCTGGTGGCACATCTGTTGCCCTCGTTTGCGGGTTGTACGGTTATTGTGGTGCCAGCTAGCATTGGTCTTGTTAGGCCTGCCCCTCACAGTCTAACCGCCCCCACAGGCGTGTCCCAGGTTTACCACACCCACAAAGCGGCTGTTGTTGTTTTAGGCTTATGCTTGGTATAATGGCTTTGTCGAGTGCCACGCCCCGCGTCTAACGTGCAACTCTCCTGAGAGGGGGCTGTTGCGGATAATACACACGACATCTGAATCCGATCCCAAGATCATCGCATCGTGTACCAGTCGCCATACACCCGCACAGTGTTTCACACCGTCTAGGCGAGTAGAGCAGCACCGTGAACATGAAACGCTATCAGACCGGTACAACGTTTCTCGCTCCTCATCCCTGACGTTACGGCGGTTGAACCTCTCGCGACGTTCGCAGAGACGTTGCACGGTCGCTGGATACAGCGTGTGTCGAACTTGCTTTGTTGGACGTCGCGTCGATTTTCGATCTTCGTCGGAGAGCATGAGGATGTGGGGCGGAATGTCCGAATTGCGTGATCGCCCTAGCGTAGATCAGCAGCGGTGTGCACACTTGACGTCGCCTGTCCGCTCCGCGTCGCCAATCTTGTAGCAACTCTGTAATCTCTCGAATCGCGGCGATGCCCACTTGACCCAACATTCCAACACAAGGGGCACGACAGACACGTGACAGGTTCCGGCATATGCTTGGAACGACGCGGTCGTCGGCAAACCCACTGACTGTCGGCGACATCCCTAACACGTGACTACGCTATCAGCTGAGCCGCTCGTACAAAATGAGTACCACTTCCGAGGTTGAGTCGTTCATGTAACGAGGGTTTGTAGCTATACAAGCCTCCGAAGAAAAGATCTACGTCGGAGCAATGCTGCGTCAGCTGTCAAGCTATAGTCAAAGGCAAGGACGAGTCACTTTTCTGTGGGGGGGAATGCCAACAGTGGCACCACCGCTACTGTGCGGGTGTTCCTGCCAAGGTCTACAAGAACTTGTCTGAGAAAGGCGTCACGTTCTACTGTTTTGCATGTAGCCTTGACAGTCATAGGAAAGAGATCGCTTCACTAAAGGGCACTGTTGAGGCCCTTAAAAGTGAGATCGCCGAGCTGAAATCGTCGTCGCCGTCGCCGTCGTCAGCACGCAAGTCGAGCCCGCAAGTCCCGACGCTACCTCCTCGCCGATGCCCTTCTTCCGTGGAAGCTGCCGAACCCAGACCCGCTGTCCTCCCCCAGCCCGAACGCTCCCCAACCCTGATGGAGAGGAAATACAACGTCAATCTTTTTGGGCTGGATGAGTGCCCCAGAGGCACCTCAAGATCTGCTCGCCTAGATGAAGACCTCAAAAAGGCTATCTTTGTTCTATCCAAGGCTGACCAGTCAATAAATTCCAACACCGTCAAGGATATTTACCGCCTTGGCAGGTTCACTGCTGAAAACAGGAAGCCTAGACCCCTTCTAGTGAAGTTTATTCGTGTAGCTGATGCTGCTTGGGTCCTGTCAATGGGTCCTGTCAAAGAGAGGTTCATTGCAAGTTGCACCAGTTATCATAAAGCCTGACCTGTCCCCCCACGAGAGAAAGATTGAATCTCTACTACTGAAAGAAAGGTGGTCCCAGATACAGTCCGGTGTGCCACGAGAATCTATCAAAATTCGTGGTCATCGCTTATTCATCAGGAACAAGCTTCATTGGCAAGTCACAATGTCTGGCTCCGATATCTCGTTCAGTCGTCACGTGTCATGTTCTGTTGCTGAAAGCCGAGCCAATTGTTTCTGCCCCCCCGCTTTCTACAGCCAGCTTGTATCAATCTCATCCCCATACCTCTGTTGTGACCTCGCCAGCCACATTGAATGACACTGGTTGTCCCACCATAAGTCAAGACCATTCCTCAGCACCCACGTCTCATCCTGATTCTGATGCTCCTCAGTCATCTTCCGCCCCAGTCTCTGATCAATGACTAGGCATCTCCCTGTGTTACCAAAATTCACGCAGTCTCGTCAACAAACTCTCTAGATTCCAATCTTTAGTGTACTCATCCACCTTTGAAGTGATTTGCATTACAGAAACTTGGCTGACTCATTTCATCTACGATAAAGAGATTCTTCCTAAAGGTTACACCCTGTATCGTAAAGACAGAGAGTCTCGTGGAGGCGGTGTCCTCATAGCAGTGAACGATCATCTTCCCAGTGTCCTCTTTCCCTCCCCTCCGGACCTAGAAGTTGTCACCGTACGACTCTGTCCTCCACGTAATACTATCTCCATTTGTATACCCCCATTTCCTGACGTCCTATACATCGAGCGATTGATTGCTTTCCTGAACTTTCTATCTACTAATCTCATTATCATTGGGGATTTCAACCAACCTGACATATGCTGGGCCTCCCTCTCCGGCACTTCGTTAGTCTCAAACCTCTTCTGCGACTTTGTATTTGAAAAGAACCTGTCTCAGCTTATCACTTGTCCTACCCACATCAAAGGCAACACACTAGACATTCTCCTGACTAATGATGAGCAACTTGTCGACAACCTTTCCGTGTCTAAGTGTTCCTCTTCCCTGCCTTCTGATCATTACCTTATCTCCTTCAACATACCTCTCACCTGCTCCTCAACCAAGAACCACGAAGCCTTGGTCGTGTACGATTATGCCAACGCTGACTACGAAGGACTATGCGACTCTCTACTTGAAACTGATTTCAGATGATTTGTCACCAGATTTGAAGACCGGAATGATCAAGTGTGTACGCCATTCTGCAGGAATGTGGGAGTGGGAAAGGCTAAGTAGGAATAGGTGATGGAGAGGTTTGTAGAGAGCAAGTGCACAGTGATGAAGAACATTAGGACCGATACTGTCGATTTCAACGGCTTTAGGTGTATCCAGTGAGCACAAGGCTTCAAAACACATCGGATTCTAGAGATACCAATATCAGAAAGCGTAGGGGGGGTGATGCTGGCATCGTGCAGAGGAGGAATTTGGTAGGCACTCAGCGTAAAACAGAGTAGAAAAACTTGTTGAACAAGAGGACCTTCTCACTGTCGGTGGAGGCAGTGGAAGAGTCAAAGGAGACAATCGGAGGCACTGGAGGAGCTGAGGTGAGACTTTGATGTACTTGAAGATCTTGTTGGGATGGTCCATGGCTAAATCTTGTTCATAATGCAATTTTGCTGTGGAAGTTTGATCTTTTAGTTGAGATAGAAGAGATTGAAGTATTAGAAAGATTGTGAGGAGTTGGATGCAAATGACATTTTCTCCTATGAGTGCGCAGGCATTGATTGTGTGACGAATCGCAGGATTAAACCATTTTGGATTGGGTGAGGATTTGACTCGCACTTTTGGGATGAACAAGTCCATAGCATGAGAATGGTGCACTTATGAAAGACCAAACTAATTCTACGCAATTGGATTGGAAGCAGGGG